GAAATATTGTTAAACAACCTAAAACAACGAAAACCAATTCACGATTCTAAATAAACAAAATCCAAAATCAAAGCCAGAGTCTAAATATGTATAAAGGAATACCAACCAAATCAACAAAACCAATCCAAGAAAATACACAAATCCAAAAATGAAAGCCAATATAAATCCATTCAACCTTAACCAAATCACAAAGCAAATAACAAACAACCGAAATCGAAAGCAGGTAGTCGAATAAGCTACGAAATAGAAACAATTTAAGCGTATAGGTACCGTATGCACTATAAGTTGACGCGCGGCTCAACGGCGGGAGTTAAGTACATGTCAGGAAGCGTTACAGCGTTTTAAAAACCTAGTAACGACATCTAGCGGAATCAATTTAAACTATGTATACGTTAGTTAATAAGAACTCTCAAAAAATACTTTTCTTATAATTTTGCACAATTTTTCTTATTGTAATACCGATTCAGAACTGTATTCATTTCCGTTCAATAAATATTACTAAGGCTTATTAATAAGGCTTACTAAGAACTGTTTCTACCACAGTTAAGTAATAGTAAAGGGTGAAAGCGTGATAGTGTGTTGGTGATAGTATTTCTGATCCATACTTATAATCACGCCTGTAACCCTTGCGGGGTAGGCAGAGCATCAACGGATTACTTTATATCGTCTGCTAGGTTATCGCCTATTCTGTGAATTACAATGCACCAAAACGTTTGAAGAAAAGGGTTACAAGGAATAATTTTTATGCCGCCCGGTCGCCCAAAAAGAGCTTGCTCGCTCGCCGCACAAATTCTATAGAAAAATGAGACATCACCTCTCTTGTCCGCTTGATCCATTTCCACCGAAGCTAGGTGTCAGATTTCGTAGTATAATTATCCCAATTGTACCATTATTTCATAGTTTGTAGTTTATAGTATCATCATAATATTAAGCGAAAATACCATAATTGTACCTAAAGGTCGACTTGACTTATTGGATCCTTTACATTTTAATATTAACCCTACGAAGAGAATTTCTGTATTGTACATGAATATCGTGTTTTTTTAACAAAATTGGAATTAGCTCCCTTTCTAGTAGATGCATTTATGTTGCATCCTTGATACAACTATAATGAGGGCTACCACGATAAAAACTCTATGCTCCAGAAGCAATCGGTTTGAAAACAGAATTTCAAAATATTTTATGAATCATATTTTTAGATTCAATTAAGCAGTTATGATTTTTTTTGTACTGATTTCGTTTTACCCGTATTGAATATAAAATATATTAGGTACCAATATTCAAAATTTAACTTACCCTAAGTTCTTTAAACAAAAATTAAACAGAAATGAAAATAAAACCGTTAAAAACGTAACCGTAACGTATAGATAAACTAGACGCGTGACGCCAAAATCTCGGCACATGGGAAAAAATAAATATGAAACGTCAAATGTGATATATTTTTTTTTAAAATAGTATAATTTTATTTTACGTGTACTATATTTTTGAAGGTCTGAATCTAACCCTGGCCTAATCTTGGTAACGTAACTAAACTAACTGTAAAACAAAACTAAAAATGCGTTTATATAATAATTTAATTGTAAAAAAATTTATATAAGGTTATTTACCGATGATACGATATCCCATGTTTTTTTTTTTCAAATCAATTTGTATCGTAATTTTTGCATTCTTTTACCACACAACTAGACATATTTATGACAGGCAAATCTGTACTGCGCGCGCAGTACTGTCGCCCGATTCGCGTTGGCCCTAAACTGTAATTTTAGGGCCAGCGCTCTGGTCCGTTTTAGTTGTTCGGTCGGCCCGGTCCTTACGTTAGTAAATATAAGTCAATGCGTTAGATTCACTCGTTTTGGCGAACAGAAAAACAATTGAAAATGGCAGGAAAGTGTTTTTTTACTTTTTATATTTCTTTTCCTTTGTGTATGTATTGATATTAAAACCAGCCAGATACAAACAGTACAACAGTACAACTAAAGAGCTTAGGCCATAAAGCAAATACATAACATCATCTTTGAGTTGAAAACTAAAATGTTGTTTATTTCAGCTACTTAATAATAGATGGCGCTGAAAAGCAAATATACCTTGGAGTATTTATAATTTATATTTTAAATATTTATATTCTATGATAGACATATACTTTTAAATAAAACTAAAATGGAGTTTAGACATTTCTTTATTTCTATTTCTTTTCAAAAGTAAATACAAATAAAATTAAACAATTGTTTCTAAATGACACAACAATCAATGACATTTTTTTAATCTGTACAAATTCAAAGTACTTATTCACAAAAAATAAAAAATGATTTTAATTCATGAAAATAAATTAATGTCAGGAAAATAATGATATATCGTATTATAACTAAAACTATAGAGGTAAGAAAATAATACTTTAAACAATTTTCTTACAAAACGGTGGACGAGGTATAAGAAATCAAATCTTGGTGCAAAATTAGACAAAATCTCTCTATAGCATTATGATGTTAAAGTAGAGTGGGCCTAAACCATCAGAGCGCCGCGGGCGAGAAAAATAACTCCTCCTTTATTTAATTAACCAGTGATTGACTTGGTAATTTCTGATATAGTCCTAAATTGTAACCTGGGTTATCTATACCATATGAAGTCAGGAATTCAAACAATTGAGTTCTTTCTTAACCATGGATAAGTAAACTTTTTAAATCACTGGAATTTGACGATATGTGTTGCAGGTGGCGCCTCCATGCCGCTGATGCCCCGGTCGCCCAGTCTACAGCCGCCGCTCATGTTAAGAATTAAGATGCCTTCTCACTACAGTCCATTATTATACTTACAAATCGCTATTACATAATCATTAATACTCAAATGCAGTGGAGTATATTACAACATAGGAATTAAAACACTATGTAATAATTTAAATATAATAAACGAAATCATTGTTTAGACTTGCCATCGGCCCAATTGTAAATGTTGTAAAAAAATTTGAATATGTATGAAATTAAAAAGTGTAATGAAAATGTTACTGATTGCTGCAGTTTTATTTATTGAAAATAGTAGGTAGGCTCCATTTAAATATTTAAGTTGTTAACTTAAGGTAATTTTGACCTCAAGTATATTGACATTTAGGTTTTTGACTCTTAATGTATACGTAGTTGTAATGCGGAAAATAATAGTCAATTATTGTAGTAAATTGCTATGCATCGGTAGTACAGTTGTTTTATCATATTGTTAACTTTGGGACTACAAATTTTAAAGTCAGAATAAATTATTTATTATTAAAAATAGTTCTTTTTCTTGTTTTATGGGCAGAAAGTCAATCTAATCATGATTTCGTCGTTTAAATGCGAGGACTAAGACGTTGGCACTTAATTTATTTCATTAAGCTTATCTTAACAACATACAGATTGGAACGTAAAATTAAAATTAATACTTATCCTTTAAGACGAATCGAAATGCCAATATTATGTACGACACGTTTTATTTTGTAAATACAATTAAAGCGATGAGAGAATATTATAATTAATTTCATAGCAAGGTTATATAGAGATTTTAATTAACATAAATATGGTATATTAAGAAACACTTAGTCGTGATTCAAGTAAACTTACTGACTAGTTTTTAAAAAAAATATAAATACACATTTTGACATATTATTCTATTTATGATGAGTCTGGTAACACTTGTGATTTGAACAATTGTTCTTTGTCCTTTAATCTCATATATGTAATTGTTATCATTATTTATTGCAATAAGCAAAGAATATTTTAGAATATTGTAGAATGGAAAAAAAAATTTTATTAAACATGTTACAAAATATAATTAATACTTATTGAAATTTAGTTTTTCTCTTAACGAATCAGTGGTTTGTTAAAACCGTCTTAATAAGCACCAGCAACAAGCCCAGTGGAACATTTGTTTTCAAAGTATTATAATAATAGATTATAGGATATAAATTATTTTTTTATAATTTGAAATGTTTGAACTTCAAATAATTAAATATTTTTCATAAGACACGATTCATGGCATGCTATCTCATCAAGTGTCACTCATCTCAATCTCATCTTAAATATACTATTGTTTTGCATTCGAAGCGGAATTTATATTATTTATTTATCTTAAAGATGTATCTTAATCTATTTAAGTGCCCTAGGGGTCAATGTTCAGTGCACTGAATACTTTCACACTAATAAGTACTATTTTATAGATATTTTAATTTCGTTAATATAATAGGAATAATTGTTAATATTAATATTATTTTTCATTCATGTAACGATAGCCTGAGACTTAGTACACACGATTTTAACATTAGATATAATAATTGAAATTAAATCTAGTTTATGTCGTAAATTGGTTATAAATATAGGATAAATAAAATAATATCATTAAAGAGTTTAATTCTTGGAGTAGATAGATTAAAATGGAATAATATCCGTACCGACACTATTCGTAGATATGTTTGCTTGTTACTAGATGTTAAAAAGTAAGCACAAAGCTACTACTACTAGAATAGGAAGAACAGAAGAACTAAGAAGTCTTACACACGTCTTAATATACATTATGGTGATGGAAATAATTGTAAAATTATGAAGTAAAAGATCATTTATAATTATCTTTTTTTTCTTCTAAAGGAACTGTATCCGCGACTGTTCATCGCTGCTGGTGATAGCAGGGCTGGTTCATTACTCTCTTAAAGGCCAAGTGTAACCATTCAGCGAGGAAACGCAGCCAGCGTTCTTGGAACGATACCACGGGGAGTAGGACTGTATGAGAATTTTAATTTTTAATTTTAGTTATTCTTTTAGTTTTTTAAAATATTGTATATATTTTAGTGTAATGTAAGTAAAAGAAAGAGACAACTGTAGTATAACTTAATCATACTACTTAGAGTCAAGTTCTACAGACATGTGAAAGCAATAAGTCCGAGGAAATACTTACAAAAATGTTAAGGTTAGAAAAATCGGAGTTAAAGATCGAAGGAAAGATTTATAAAGAAAAAATTTCGATTTAAGTTCAAGGGAACGAAATTATCCAGCGCCGCGCGCAGGACGGGGGAGTGCCATGGGAGGCGGCGGCGGTATCATGTCAAACTCTTCAACAATCGTCTTTGGGTGGAGTGCGCTTATGTTATTGTCCACTGTGTACGTCCTGACGTGGGTGTGCGTCAGCGCTGGTCGAGCGTCATTAACCAGCCAGTCCTCTCTGTCACGCAGGCGTTTGCGGCGCAGGATTTGCTTGTCTCGTAGATGCTGGAGGCGGGCGAGGTGACCTTTGATCTGCTGAGGACTGAGGCCTGTGCGACCGGAACGGAGGAGCTCCGCATTGTAACGGAACGATGCTTCCGGATCGTGACGGTTCCATTTGTAACTGAAAAGAGATGGATTATAAAATATTGCAAATGATAGTTACGTTGTGGATGTATTATGGATAGATTCCAAGGTGATAGTACTCTTATTCACTGACACCGGCACTGACCACTTATCTATTAATGCTGCCAAGGAACAGTGCTTTTAGTTATTTATGAGTGGCGGTAGTCACCATTATGTAAGCCGCATGCTCGTTTGCTTGCTTCCGCTTACAGAAAATAAAACCTCAGTCACTACTAGCGACATCTGTCGAGCGGAACATTATTACACTCATTAAACCACAGTAGCCTAATGGTACGGTGGAGACTGTACTTAGAATCTGACTGTAACTTAGAAAGCTGTGGGTTCGAATCCGTAATACTATCACTGTCGTTAACCACTCCTAACGCAAGCATTTATAGCTTACTTGAAGTGGTTAACAAGTTAATAGTCCCTATCATGATATTATCTATTTTTTATAGAATAAAGTTGACAAACAAGCACACAGTCTACCTGATGGTAAGTGGACATTTATCCTCAATTAAGAATCAAATGCCAAATGCGTTGTCACCCCTGAGGACTAAGATGGAATGCCTCGATTCCAGTAAAAAAGGTCTCCGGTTCTCTACACTCACCATACGAAACACAGCAGCATTATGATGCTATTTTACGCTGGTATTCTATGAGAGCGTGGTCCCGCCTCGGTTGAGCCGACACAACTTGCTACAACTATAATATAGCTACAGCGTGGCTCTACCACGTACTGAATCTTACTAGGAAAACAAATAATATAAACTACTCACCCGGGGAATGGTCTTGTAAGCCGTCTATGCGCATTTGGTCTGGATCTCTTCCTTAACTCATTTGGTCTGAGATTGTACAGTTTCGGGTTATTTCGGATTGGGTTTGGTCTGCGTTCGTGGCCCTTCGGCCCAACTCTGAGTGGGCTGGGCCGGAGGTCGAAGGATTTCGGATTGAGTATAGGGTTGCTCGTAACGTCATTGGACATGGGGTCATTGACCTCCCTGCTGACGCTGGGTGCTGTTATCTCATTGATCTTGCCCATTCGTTGCCAGCGTCGCCGGAGATCTTTTAGCTTCGACTTCGGCACCTTGCGGAGTTTCGTTTGGCAAATGTATTGCCTTGCTTCGACGCAGCTTCGTGGTGCCCATCTGAAATAAAGTAAAGTAAAGTAAAGTTACAGCCTTTATACGTCCCACTGCAGGGCTCAGGCCTCCCCTCATTTTCTGAGAGGGTTTAGGGCAAGGAAGTGTCCGCCGCGCTGCCCAAATGCGTGTTGACGAACTTCACATGTTTTCGAAATATTTTTTTTTCTTATTCCTCAGACATGCAGGTTTCCTCACGATGTTTTCCTTCACCGCCGAGCACGTGGTAAACCAGCACTTAAAATTGCAATTAACAATTTCATTGGTGCCGGCGGGGATCGAACCCGGGTTACTCTCGCGTTCTGTTATATTTACAGCGAGCGTTAACCACTGAGCTACCACGGCTTATATAAAATAAATTATTTATTCACGGCTATCTGAAATAAATTCGGTTTTAATTAGTCGGGATTCATGGTAAAAAAAGAATATACCATCAAATAATTTATGGAATATATTTGTGAAATGTATTCAGCTCATCTTAAGCTACGAATTATATATATATAATTCTATTCCAAGAGAGGTTAATGGAACTAAAATATGCATTCAAATGGGATGTGAATAAAGGTTCAGAAAATTTTCTTCATAATTTCTTATATACAACAGGTTGCATTTTTAATACAGCATATGTTGGAATTATATTTGATTTAAAAAAAAGTAATATCCAGCCTTTATACGATCCATAACTGGGCATCCTCGAAATATTTTATTTTTTAAATATGCCGATTTCCTCGCAATTACTTGCTTAAGTGGTGAATCAGCACTTAAAATTGCAATTAACATTATTGCTAGCGGGTCGAGTGAAATTTACGGCGTGCACTTAGGCTCTGAGCTAGCATTGCTCTCGAAATAGCACATAATATGGTGAACACTTGATATTTTTGCGCAACATATGGAGCACAACATATACAGCTTTTGGAGGTACATAGTACGTATGGGTTGTATGGTCATCCGATTAATATGGTTGCTTTATCAAAAACTACATCCTTGTTTGCATAGATGGCTTTGTGATATGATAGCTCTTCATCGGTCAATCAAATAATAAAAGGTGAAAAGCATATATACAGTAATCTATGGTGAAAAGGGCGCTGCTTTATCGACGCCATTTTGATAGTTGACATTATAGTACTAATAGGGGTAATAGTAATTATTTTAGTCCATTTTAGTAAGGTACTACACCAGTAAGTAGTTTTTTTGAGTAGATTTTTCGAAGTGTTCCTAATTATTGCCAAAGCTTGTTTGCAATTTTTTCTTAATTATATTAGTTATAGTATACATTTTTGTGTTTTTGTCTCTGTCCTCCCCCTAGTTTTTGTTTTATAGGGCGGTAAAGCTTAAGGGGATATAGTAAGTCAGCTCAAATTCTAATTTCGCCCCGACTTCCCCGCGCGCCGTATGCTATGTACCGACATGTTTGTAATCACTAATACTGTAAGTAGAAAGGTTGTTAGACACTTACTTCATTAGGATTATCATATTTATGCCGCTTCTTAACGCCAAGCCAGTCGCTTCTTATTTTTATTACGGTTATTTCCCATTTTAATTTTACGTCGTCCTGTTGCGTAATGTGTATTCTGATCGTAAGCGACACAACCTCCCACTTCAAAGGCCGAAGCGAAACTGACCGGGCGGTAGGAATCACGCTTCAAGAGGCCGATAATTTAGGTAATTTCTTTTTACAGTGAAAATAATGGTATTTAAAAAAAGTAAATAACATAAGCACTGCTTTATAGTTAGTTCAGTTAGTATGCAAAGTTTCATGATCTTATTTAGAGTATTTTATGAATAACAGCGGTTTATTGTTTATTTTGGAGGTAACTTTGGATTTTTTTACTATCGAGAAAATTTTACGAAATCGTGTTTTCGTCTAACATAATCCTTAACATTAATCCTCAACTTTACCATATATTTATTTCAAAATTGATGCTGCAATATTTTCGGCATAACGAAGGATCTTGCTAAGCCATTTGAGATTATATTTCCCCTTAAGATGATATTACCTTCACGTAAGGTACCTTATTATATACATTGGAGTATAATGTACTATGATTATATGTCATATATTACATAAAACATTTATTAACAACAGCTGCCCAGCTTATCAAATCATCATTAGACCTAATTATTTATGGTAGATTGGTTGACCATTTAAATTAATATGAATCAAAAGTCACATCGGTTGACTGGAACATAAATTCTTATATTATATTCAAGCGTACAGCGTTGATTGATGTTGCGACGTCTCATAAATTGAACCCCTTGCCTTGAACTGTTCATATTATAATATCTGATGAAAATTTAATGTACAGTTTACATATAGTATTATTAATTTGTTTATTTTTTAAACTCCAAAAAGGCACATATTGATAGAAAACCGGCGCAATAATGTCATATAAATTGTGTGTACTTTTTGATATATAATTTTTTAAATTAAAGCGGGGAAACGTAACCATATGATATTATCTATGTTTTTGCAAACATGGACAAAGGTAAAACGAAATATTGTTATAATAATAGTTCAAACATAACAGGTACAATATCTTGAACCAAAATATGTTTGGTGTATTTATATTAGTGATAGTATAAGTACTATGGCAGTTCGTGGTACAGCCACGCTGCAGCTATAATACGAGTATAATTGTTGTAGCATGAATGGGTCGGCTCGACCGGGTGAAGTCCGCTCTCTCGCAGAATATCAGGGCAAAATAGCAGCTTAATGCCACTGTGTTTTGTATGGTAAGTGTAGATAACCGGAGACTCTTTTTACTGGAAACGAGGCTTTCCATCTTAGTCCTTGAGGTGACAAACGTATCTGCATTTTGATACTTCTCAAGGATATAATATGTAGATGTCTGTGGGCTACAGCATCCACTTACCAACAGGTGAACTGTGTGGTCTTTTGTCACCCACATCCTATAAAAATTTTCGCTCCATTTATTTATACTCTATTGTACACCTTAATAAAAGGATAAGAAAGGGCCCACTTAATGCCTTTCAGTATTCTCTTCTAGTTAACTCGGGTCGTGTGGAAAAGGAAAACACATAAAAATATATTTTTGCCAATAGTGAGATCTCACAGTGTAATCAAATCGAGGGCTCTTTTAAATCACATTCCATAATTCTTAAATAAATTTCCACGTCACACCGCCATCTGCGTGAAGGATTAAGGGGTCGCCAGCACAATGGGACGCATAATCCAATTCCACCGTGTCCGCAGCCGCTCGTAAAACTTTTATACTGTTTCGTGGTATCGATCTTTGTTTAAGCATAATCGGTTTTCGCAAACTGTCGTTCATTATACGTTTTTTGGGAAGGTCCCAAGGCATACACTGAAGCAATATATAAAAAAATATATTATTTTTATTTTTGCTTTACAGACTTAAATTGAATCTCATATATAATATATATATATATATATATATATATATATATATATATATATATATATATATAATTGAATTGTCCGTCTCTAATATAATATTGAAATAACTAGCTTCTATTAAGCTCAGGGGGCTCTGAGCATGCTTACCATTTCGCTGTTCCGTGTACTACATATAGTTTGCCATTGCTATTGTCTTACTGTTATTATATACACGACCATTTTTAAAACATTTTTCTGTTTGTGTATCCAAGCTTATCTTTAGGATGGCTGAACCGATTGTGATGAAAGTTTACGAACAGATAGTGAGTAGTCCATATCCCTAGGCCATATTTCATAAACAATTTTAAACAATTGATTAGTTAAATAGTGTTTTGTCACTTTCTATCTACAAGTGTCTCGCAAAGGTAAAAGGTAAAATATTATCGTTTTTTATATGAAAATTCACAGCTTTACAATCCTTACAACCACCCCAACTCCCCAAAACCACCCCCCATTTCTTTTTCCCCAACTTCAATTTCACACATTTCAATGCTACCCCCCCCCATTCCCTTTTTGTTTTTTAGCTAATAACAAAACTTCCTAAAACCCCCCTCTTTTTTTTTTTTTTTATAATAAAAAAATTTCACCACCACCTTAACACCAAATTTTTGAAAGCCCCCCGCAAAAAAAAAAAAAAAAAAACCCCGGAACCCCCCCCCCAACCAAAAAAATAAAAAATAAAAAAAAATTAATAAAAATTCCCCAAAAAAAAAAACCAAAAAAAAAAAAAAAAAAAATTTATTTTTTCAAAGTTTAATACAGCCAGCAACTTGTTACAGTGAGGATCAAAGGATGACTGTTTTGTTTTAATTTTAAGCTATGTTCTCGTTTTTTTACTATTCTTAATTACTGTACAAGCTTAGGATTCTGTAATTGCAAACAGCGTTATATTTCCTTATATCTATTTATTGACTTTAATATTAATGTTTGTCATAGGTACAATTAAATATTTCTTTTGATTTATCATTTCGTTTATCTTTTTGATTATAATACTACAATAACATGCATTGAATGTGACCAGAACAGTAAATTGCAAATTAACTGTTCTGGTCACATTGCGCCTCATTGATGTATAAGAATATCAACGTATGTTTTGCGTAAATTTACCGTGTAGTGGCTGTCGTAACAGGTTACAGAGAGAAATTGAAACACGTGATAGGGAGTAGCATTCACCTGATAACAATTTAAAAAAAAACTGCGGTTGCCAATGGTAAAATACCCCTATGAGGCAATGTATAGGGAGGCCTATGACCGGCATTAGACTTTTATAGGCTGTAATAGCGTAAATTTAAAAATATCCTGGCAAAATTTGTGCAATAACGAAATTCATTCGTTCATTCTTCATCACATCCGCTGCTGAACCAAAAGAGCTTTTCGTAAGTTGTTGTGATCATTACCATTGGACTTTGTCGGGCGATCGTAGTGATATACATCCGACACCACTCACTCTGCGTTACCGGTCTATTTCAAATTTGTTTTATTGCGCCATTGTAATCTCTAGATTGTATCCCTTAAAACACTTATATGTTTTTTGATCTATTAGTTAAACGCTATACGATTTTGGAATTTCCTCAGTAACGGAACGAAT